ATCCGTGTCCCGACGCGAACATTACACGCATTGTACACATTGTTTATAGATAAGCCTCATATTTGCGCTGTTATCGTACCCCGATAGGATCATATTTTGAATTGCAAGCTACCATGACTCAAAACCACTCTTTTGTCGATGGAAATAGCCTTTCAATAATAACGAAATATCACGCATTTCACATCGAGTAATTGACGTGAATTTTTTTTCCCAACTTTTTATTCTCCATCTTCAAGATTTTTTTTTCTTTTTTTTTTCGTTTCTTTTCAAGGACAATTATGTGCTCTGGACCTTTATACTTCGTATGCATCACGTGCTTTCTCACGGTATCACTGGACACGCAAAAGTCACTGATAATTCGAGAAGCCCACGGGTATGATGAGCCAAGGTAGAAAATTAAATGTAGAGCACCTGGAATTCATGACTACGAGGGATAATTTTCAGTTGGCGGTAGAAAACTCGTTTCAACGGTATCAAATTAACTTGGTATTATTTTCTGTACCGCTTCAATCATGATTGCAGATGGACTATCACGGTGGATTGACGCCCCATTTCAATGGAGTTGATAAGATTAAATTTTATCGGCGATCGATGCTCGGAAATTTTCAGGCGATGCTTCTACCTCCGAGAAATATTGTACAGAAAAAAATCAACGATTTGAATTTTATTCAATTGTAATGGATATTCAGAAATAATTGGCATTGCGATGAAAATTATTCAAGTGCAACAAAAAAATACTAGAACACTAGTATTGACTGGTACTTGAGGCAGGCTCACTTGAGAAAAGTTCGAGAAATACTTATCCCAAGGAGCCATTGGGTGAGTACCACATCTGCTGGTGAGGTTGGAATAGTACTGAGAAAAAATACTTTAGCTGGTGATCACTCATAATTTTTTCGAGGGCATGGATTACACGATCAAGTAACAATCATCTTAATGATTCCAGAGTTGGAAATATTTTTATTATTAATGAAGCGAGAAATTCAGAGAGGAATGATGTAATAATGATGCAATAATTTAACTATTATATTAATTATGCAGATATTTCCAAAATAAGTGATTCTGAGTAAAATGATTAATATAATTCTCAATAAGAAATCGGTTTGACTTTGAAAATGAACTCTTGAGATTCCATCCTGGAATAATTTATTCCAAAGGTAGATGCATAAATGAAGAAAATTCCCCATTAACCTGAACCGTTATCTCCCTATTAAATTTTTATTAAAATGGGAAAGTAGGCTATTACTCTAGAGTATGTGAAGGTGCAGTTTCGTTTTATGAATTCATCGGAGAGGACTTTTAAATGGGCATAGCTGAATTTTATCGCAGAATGAAGAACTTCGCAGATGTTGTTTTTCTCAAAAACTCAAAAATTTCAGCCGTTTTTTACCAAACTAAAATGCACGTGTTCCCGCTCTTTGAATTAATAAATAACCGAACAGACATATCGAATCAATTTTCCATTGTCCAATGATACGAGACCAACAAATTTCAATTAAACAGCAGATAAATAATCTGAAATTGAGATCTCATCACTGGAATCTAATCACATCTAATCTAATCTCAGTCTTGCAGAATACAAGATAATTGAATCAGCAGAGGACATTCAAACATATCTCAGAGACCCTCTTAAAAAAACACCAATGATACCCGAAAGAAACATCAGATCAAAATTTTTCCCAATTGTCTGTTCCCTGATTCGAACTCCTGAGGCTATAAGACTAGGACTCAGAAACGACTATAATAAATCGAAAAAGCCGGATTTGATTGGAAAGAAAAAAAACCTGATGATTGGACTGCTTCCATTTGGCAAGTCATACATTTTATGACCACAGGTACAAGTAAAAATGAAACTTTCACCAAGTATCAGAGAAAGGACGTGTGTAGACTTGGAAAGGAACGTGACATTGACCAACCAGGATAATGTGAATCGACCTCGACGGGGTGTTAAAGGAAGGCCTCAACGATCGATCGTAACACACGAAGAGGGAAAAAAAGGACGTCTAGGTACCCACCCCCGTGTCCTTTTAACGCTCCCCTTGGCACAAGCTTCATACCCCCCCTTTTTTTAGGGTCGTGACATCAGTGCCAAATGGGTGAGGCTAAAAAGTGCATTACCCCCGGAGGAGAATGAAAAAAAATTGTTGCGGAGAAGACAGCTAACACAAACTGTAGTCCAAAGGTGGTGATATCTCTGGAGACACAAAATGTATTGTTGACGGTTTGCTTGCGAAATCGTTTGGCGAAGGCCTTCGTGGAACTAAATTGCAAGCGGTGTGAAAACAAAGCGATAAAGAGTGGTGAGAGGGACCCAAGAGGAATACTCGGTTACAAACGATGGGTTCCTTGACATACGGGGACACCTGGGAGTTACATGGTGGTCGTACAATGACTTCTTTCTAAGATTTATTTATTTTCTAATGAGAGTGCCAAATTAATCGAGATAGACGCTCCGTTGTACCATTTGTTGGCACTTTTTAACAATACTACACGAATTTGTAAAAGAATCCTGAGGATTTTTGAATTTTTATTCTCTGGGGTTTTTGTCAGAGTTCATTCACCGTTTTGCAAATTTTTTTTGTAACCGGAACTGAGGGTTAATCCGAAGGAATTTTATGGTAGTCAATTTTGGGGAATTGAATGCCAATTGAAAATGGTGATGATTAAAATATTTAATTGATTTGCAAGTGAAATTCTGGGTGTGAAGTGTGAAAAAAGATGAATTAATTTCTTGGTGAAATTATTTTTACGTTAATTCAAATTTTAAGAAATTTGTATGATTTTGAATTGAAAAAATAGCAAGTATTCGTAAGCAATTAACAAACGTTGAATACGCATTATCTCTCCCCTTCATATTTGCAATAATTATTCATAAACTCTGTCTGATTTTCACGCTGATTTCTTAATTTTCAGGAAGTTCTTACGTAAATATGTTAATTTATTTAAATTCCCGGGAATTCGTTGTTCGTTGACAGAAAGAGAAGAATGAGCTCTCGAGATTATGCAGAAAAATAATCTGCCGGAGGAGGAAAAAGGTGAAAATTAATTAAATGCACATGAATATGTCGGAGGGATATACCTATTGAACCGTTCTCACGTTAATCTTTAAAAACGATCAATTAATTGCGGTAAAAGTCTTCGGCAATTTCTCTTGGTACTCATGCACAAATTTGTTCTTTATATGGAAGACAGGTATCGGCTTACTTGGGAGAAAGGTAGTGAAGTTGACCGGGTGACTAACGGTAAATTAGAACGCAATTTAAAAAAACATTGCACACGACCTTTTAACCAATTCGGCATATGACCCGTCTGAATGTCATGGGACAGTCTTTAATTTAGCTACTGTTCATTTTTACCCTCCGTCATTCCCTCTCGATAGATTTCCAATCTCTTCCCTAATTTTCATCTCAATCTAAATTAAAACTCTTTCATACTATTCATAGAAATTGATTGACATTTTTTGAAGATGAAATCTCCTATCGATCTGAATTTCCCTTCAACTCTACCGTTAAACCACAACCAATTGTCATTCTCAATATCTATTGATGACATTTAAATTGCTTCCATTCCAATTATTCTCGTTATTATCTCGTGATTTTTCGTACCAATTTGGCGGACAGTCGAGTACTTGAAATGCACTCAACTCCGAGCCATTGGGAACAATTAATCGTGATGGAGTGGTTGGAATCCCCGGAAATTTCATCCAGTGGTTACTCCATAATTTCTCAAACTCCAGACAACGATGCACGTGACAGTTACTCCTGGGTTATGGATTAATTTCCATTTCTAACGGAGTTGCATTTGGTTTGTAAAATTTTATAAAAGACGAATTGACATGTGACGTGGGGGAGATATTTTAGAGAATGTTTGAGGAGATTATAGATCGCTTGTTGTAATTTAAATGAGCAGTCGGGGCTGATCTCACGCACAGACCAATCCCTCGAGAATATTCAATATTTAACAACTAGAATCGGTGAGGAATTCATATCTCCAAGTTTAGACGGCTTTCCACCTCATAATTGATTCGAACCCGAAGTAATATTCAGGGTTGGAGTGATTTATCGACGCTTGAACGAATTTTATTCTGGAATTTATGACCAAGTCGTCAGAAAAGAATTTAGTTTTCTAGGTAAAAGTAGTCAATCAATTGGGAAATCTCAAGAGCATCAGATGAAAGTTTAACTCGTAATTAATCATTTTGTAGACCTAAATTTGTGTTGAATGAGACTTTATGAATGTTTTCTCATTGCAAACACTTTCTATTTCGGACAATAAAAAGCCCTAATTGAGCCCAATGCCACAATTGCATGTAAAAATATGAAAATGAGTAATCCTCGATAAATAAAGATTGTATAAACATCCAAAGGCATGCTGTGAACTGCTCCACGAGAAAAAAACTGAAATGCTTCTTTGAAATGAATTTCCTCGCTTATATAATTAATTCTTTTGTACCAAAATTTCTGTAGAGTACTTCAAGTATGATAAACAATGAAGAAGGACATTATTTTAAATAATTCCAAGACCCACGACGAATTTTCCCTCGACATGACAATATGATTATGTAAAAGGATAAATAATATCAAAGTATTCTCCAACAAACTTGTCTTAAAATTTTTACTCCAGAAAAGTCCAGGAATAGTAAGACAACTGCAGAAAGTTAAACTTCAAAATGAATCATCCCGTTCACTCCAAAAAACAAAACAAAAACGGCTAGTGCAATAATACACCCTGCGTTAATTCCAACTCCAAGTCCAATGAACTCCTCCTCAAAAACAAATATAGTGTGGATTGTAGATTAAAATGCTCACATCGCGATCCAACAAAAAAAAGACATCGAGTACCTATTGAGTTCCATCATTCCCAATTTGAATACACCAAAAAGAGAACTCCAGAAAAATACCAGGAAATCACACGCCCCCAAACGCCCCCTCCCAAACAAGCAAAACGATCAAAAAAATAAAAAAATAATCCAGACTTTGGGAATTTTTTAATTGACATACCGGATTGAGAGATGTCGAGATAATTTCAGGTGTCTGCGGCAGCATTTTAACGCCAATCATGATGTCACCGATGATCATCAACACTCGAAATATCACAGATGAGTGATCATATCAAAAACAATATCACTCGTCAACCGTCAAAATGGTTTTATTGTAAAATAAAACAATGGAATAAAAATCAGAGGTGTACAGATATACAACACGATCGATAGCACTTTAGTATCCAAGATAAAACTGTTTCCGTAGGGCTGTATTTATCTCGTCAGGTCGATTAATCCCGTTAAAATATCACCCCTGATGCATTGGATGGGTGGAAAGGAAGGGGTTGATCGTGTTTCGTGGTATTAAATTTCGATTTAAATCGGAAACACGAGACTTGATTGAAAAAATCGGAGGGATACACCTTTCCTCGGTGAGACTGTGCGCGGTACTGCCTTGAGTCCGGGCGGGTATTGGATACCCTGCGCACCGATTATCACCGATCATCCACGAATTTTCCCGAACTCGGTTTACTCGCCCCACCACGAAAAATCGTAGTATAGTATCGGAAAATTCCAATCGATGTGAGTTGTACGGGTGTGTGAGTCGAGATTTATTATTGACGGGGTGTCTTCTACCGTAATAACACCAGTGCATTCAGAAAAAAAATTTACCCTATCCTTTTTTTGTTTTTTTTCCAAATTAAATAGACCGATTGATTTTCATCTATTGATCCTACTTTTACAGGTTAGCATATCACCCTGTTTTTGTCGTCAATTCATGTCATTGTATAACGTACGTATGTAATTTGATGTAATTGTTCATTTTGATTTTTTTTCGATTATTCTTATTATTATTTATTTCAATCATGGGAATTCCTATTTTTAATTGATAATTCCTCTGCAATGATTTAAAGTCTGATGGCATTTTTCATGTTGGAATTGTCAATTTTCCTCCTCAAGTACCTCATTCTCAACTTTCATTCGTCATTCTATGAAATTTGTCAAGGTAATTCACACAAGAATGTCTCACCTGCTCGAGACGATGATGATAACGAGTGAGAATGATTGCGTCACAGAGTGACTCAATGCTCAATGATGCCGGGGATTTTTTGAGTCGATTCTTCTTCATTCGTCGCGTCATGCATGATAAAACGAAAGGCGTATGTGTTCATGAAGCAGATCCGGATTTAATGGCCTTTATTTATCAATTCCTTCGATCTCACGTCATTCCAAACATCTAGACCTAAAATCATTTTCAGTCCATAAAAAAACGTAGAAAAATTATTACATGATCATAAAATTTTGGGAGGCAATAAATAATTATGAAATCGAATCAACTAGTGAGAAAACTCTGATAATTGGTCATTTCGGCTAGAAGGGGGTAGAACATCTTTAAACCCTTCATTATCACTTTTTATCGTTTTTCCGGTTGCTCATAAAGGTCTTGATGAAAATAATGTCCATGGCGCCGTACGGCGACCTAGACGCTCATCAATAAAACATGAAATAGTGTCCGAGGGATACGACAGTCAGAAAACCCGTAGAGTGAAATAAAAAAAGGACAAATTAGTAGTTGTATCAGACACTTACACACGAGACGAGGGTAGGGAAATTAATCCACTGCTTGAGGCGGCGATTTTACTCAATAATTGTAGAGTAAACGTTTCTTTAAACCTACAAAATACATGGAATTAGTCGATCATTCTAAATCATTAATTCTAAACGTGTTTCCTCTGGTTATTTCATTCACGACACGTTGTAACGCATGTAATTGCAGTGGTGTACATCAAAGGGACAGTATCAGACGACCATTTCAATTCCAGGAAGTCAACGTGTGCTGGTTGTTCAAGCCTCAGGACAAGGGCGAATACATTAATGACTATTACTCGGTCTTTGTAATTGAATCGTCTTGTTTGGGGATGGCTAATCGATTGTCATTAGAAATATCTTGCGGAGTCACTAATCACTCGGAGTTATTTCATGCCAGTAATCATTGAAAAATGAATGGAATTCGTACGTCAGTTTATGAGAGACAAAATCGTAGATTTCGTAACAAGTAGAGAAAAATGATTATAGCACGAGCAGAGAGTGAGGGGTATAATCTCACATGCCAAACACAATTTTCTACACGAGTTACCAATATTTTTCTTCGCAGCGTGCCGGAAAGCTACTTTTCGGCACAGCGTGATGAAATATATTTTTCGGCATTTTTCAATATTTTCAATATGAAATTGTTAATGAAATCAAGTTAAGGTGTCAAGGAAATTTATTGATATCGGAGAGGATTTCGAATAATCTATCATAGACTAATTTTTTCACGTCTTTCGCTAAAATGAAGTCGATGTGATTGAAGTTTTTCCAGTTTACGATCTCGTAGTGTAATGTTGTGTTTGGAGGCAATTTTTTTATCAAGGCTACGTCGTCCTCTAGAGTTGAGAGTGGATCATTTAAGGCTTTGAAAAAAACCATAGGAGCTACGATGTTTGATAAATTGTATTGTGGAGCCCTTTTTTTTCCGTAATATTGAAGGTTGATTGAGTCGTCATGGTGATCAAAGTATCCGAATTCACCTGTGAAAAGTTTATTTGTTCGGCGAATTTTTTTAATTGTTAATATCTATATTATTCACTTAATGATTGTCCAAATCTTTTTCAATAGAAAAGTAAATGAAGTAACTCTACTGTCATGACGTCAAAATTCACTTTAACCAATAATAATTATATTCATTATTATTATAACAATTATAATACTTCTAATTTTTCAGAGAAAAAATATTTAAAAATCCAGAATTTACTTGAAAAATTCAATAACTGAAAATATTCAAAAGTGGCATAGCCCGATGGGAAAGTAGAATTACTTTAATTATTTGAATTAATTTTCCTTGTTCTTGATTAATTAATTAACTAATCCATTAATTAAAATTTTACCAGTTCTCAAAAATTGAAAGTAATGAAAAAGAACTTTTGCAGAACATCCGGCGGGGAAGTACAGTGCAAATTTCAGCACCAGATCCTAAAGAAAAATTAACAATTTTTTAAGCTTGCAAAATTCTTTCAGATAACTGCTAACTCGAGAATAAAAATCATTTGTACATTATAAACATTTTTATACTTTACCCATGGTATATCGAATTGCTCACGATCTCGACCCATAAATGTTTCCACAAGGAATAAACAAAGCTCTCTCATCAGGGGACTAGCTGTACATACTAATTTCACGAATGAATGTACAAATCTGTTTCGAGGCAGAATCTCAAATGATTTATCAGGTCCTTCCAACAGATCCGCTATCATCAGTAGAATTTGTCTCGTTAAAGTCTTTGATTTGAAGACGGTAACTGGCGCAAAATGTACCACGAGATTTAATTTGCTGTTGTAATCCGTTCTATTTGAGAGAAATATTGTGCTTATTGTTGTTCCAAGGGATATGCCGATGTAGGACAATGACGATCGATTCGTCACATTGAGGACATAGTCCATCATTGCTGGTAGATCTTTGATTGCGTACTCGTCCATACTGTCACAGAATATAACGGAATTGGACATCACTTGATTAATGAAGTCATACAACTTGACAATTCAATTACTTTTTCTTCTCTTCTCTCCGAGAAACGAGAACACCGAAATCAGAACAGAAAAATTTCCAAATAATTTTTCTTCTTCCAGAATTGAAAAAATATATAAAAAATATACGAGTTAAACAATTATTGAATATTAGAGTGTTAATAATAATAATTAATTATTATTATCAATTTTTCTGGGACTTACGAACCTGAAATTCCAGAATTTCGGGTCCTTCGTTGATAATGTTTTGTGCTTGCGGCTGTAAGCATTCCCTCTCAAATTTCCCAGCCAAACATCGTATCCAGCATCAGCTAGTAGAAATGCTGTCCACAAATTGAATATTATACAATTATTGATTGATAAATAATACTACAGGTTGTGGGTATTTGTTGGTGAATGATATTTCCAGTTACCGATATTCCTCTCGGGTTTCACCATCGCAAACATATCTGCAGTGCCTGTTAATCCGTGTTGCAAATAAATTGGAGGTCCTAATTGATAATTATTGTTATTACGAACAATTCTAAATATTGATAAAATGTATCCGTCCTCGGTCGTTACATTATGCCATTCAGCCCGTCTCCCGTGTTCCGCAACGAGTCCTATCTGCATTTAATTAATATTTGATAATTGAGACGGGAGAGAAAGTGTGAACAATTGTTCAATACTAAAAATAATTGTCATAAAAAAAATAACCGTTACTACAGGAATTTCAATTGATATGATTCACTTACAAAATTTGGAACACGGAAATGAGAATTTCTTCCATCATCCCGGTACTGATCCCGTAATCTCGAATCACCCGACAAGAATAACAAAGAGAGCATGAATAAAACAATCACTATTCTCTTCTGTTCGGCCATTATTAATGACTGATTCAGAAATTCTGAGAGACTTCTGAACGCACATCGCTCACACCGCGAATTAAACCCATCTGTCCCACTTATTCTATTTTTTGTCACATGTCCATCAATAATTTTTCATTTGCTCTTCCTTATTAACAAGAAATCGAAGGTAACGACCTTAGCTTGTAATTTCAAAGTTACACAAACGGTTTTTTTTCCTATTTGTCTCATTATACGTAAGAATTGCTCTTTGTTCTTAATGACGTACGTAATCGTTAAGACACATTAGCGGATACTTTAACTGGAGACATGATTATTGTTGCAAGTCGTAAAGTGCCATGAAAATATTTATAATTACAGATAGACCATGAAACAGAACAATTGTGAGAGCTGTGATAACATCAAATATCTCCCGAATTTTTTCTACCTGTTATTTTCATTTTTATTTAAATAATGTACATACCATGTGAATGGTGATAAAAAACATTAAGAAAAAAAAATCGCGCATAAGTATTTTGTTCAGTAAATATTTTTTTATAACTCATTATTATCAAGTAAAATAATTCTTCCCTGAGACAACGTAAATACCTCTTTTTTTCAATGTTATATTGGTAAAAAATAGTAGCCGGAGGCTGTATACCAAACTATATTATAATTGATAATAACATTTCTTTAGAGGTATTTCTGTTTCAGATCCGGTTCTTTTTTTTGTGAATATGTACATAGTGTAAATACTGAAGTACTGGAATAAAACATGGGCAATTAAAAAAAAAAGTATTCGCACACTGGCACACGCGCTTGAGGAAGGACCGAACCGGTAGCGGGTCGATGCCTGGGAGATATTCTGGTTCATGCGAATTATTCTCCTCTGGCAAGGCCGCGCCAGTCTGGCGTCGAATATGTTTCTTTATGCAGTAGTTGTGCTCCTTGATTTTCCATTGGGAAGAACATTTCAAATTGAATGCAAGATTCCAATAATTTCTCGATGCTGATTTATTTATTTATAAAAACTTCATTATTTTTTTCATTTTTTCAATCAACGGTTCATTTTTCGTACGCATATCCAAATATCCGATATGTTGGGGATATACTGTATTAAAAAATTATTAACATTCATAATTTATTTTTTTATTATTTATTCTGATCTCAAGGCTGATTGATTTTTAGAAGAAAATTACGTTTTTGAAAATTAAATTTTTTTCGTCAATTAATTATTGATTTCATTTCTATATTTGTCTCGGAGATGACAGAACTTTCAGAGCTGAGATAAATACGAAACAAAAAAGTCTTTTTTTTTCGTGTAAATTATTCTGCTAACCTTTGTGAGTCCAGTTTTTCTCTCATCGAATTAATTGATAATCGAAATATAGGTCGGGGTTACAATTAAGCGATTCTAGAAAGACGCTCCTGCCCCTCGCCTACAGTTACCGAAATTTTGCGGTTTTAATTTAAGGAATACCTCCTTCCCCTTCATATTGGAATTATTATCGCAATAAAACATTAATTAGTGTTAATGAAATACGATTATTATTGTATTTATATATTATTATATTAATAATAATAATTATTGTACGTAACTTTTGATGTTCATTTTTTTCAGGATCGTGAAAAACTTGTTCACTACAATATTTTGGGTTTAATAAAGATTTTCTTCATTTTCACGTATTTGTTCATGTTTATTTCGTACATACTGTTCAGTTCAATGGTAAGCATAGTCTTATAGGCATCAAAGTTATTATAACCTGAGTGTGTTAAGTAATTGCAGGATCTCGTGCACTTTCGACTATTAAAAATATCAAGAAAGTAAATAAACACCAGATAAGACGAGACAAGTGCAGACGTTATCATTCATACAGTTTGGCATTTATTGATTTATGAAGATTCATGAAATTACTGAGTCTCGATGCATTGGAATGGTTCAATACTCCTATCTAAATCGGCAGTTCATGGTTTCATGGCATTTTCCTGGATTTAATGAGTCGAAGTATGAGAAAAATGCACATTTCGCTGACTGAAAATCGTACCTTCGGCATTTGTCCTCGATTTGTCGACCTTTCAGCGATTGCTCCGTCGGGCTGTAGTCCTCAGCTGCTTCTCTATTTCAAACTGACGCATATCTGCTCGCTGGAGGAAATCCTGGCGCTCCAGGAAGCCATCTCTACCTCTATTATGAGTCGTTATCTCTTCATCGAGATTTTCCTGTTTTTTGAAATTATCCCAATCGAGTTTCGATTTTTCTAGAGTTGAGATTTTTGTTTTTCTGCCAATCTGGCCGAGCACGGAGGAGATACCACCCAATCCTCCTCTTCGGCCTCCACCACCGCGTCCTGACGGCCTAGGAATAACTTCTGGAATTTTCGGAGACTTATCCGACGAAAGAAGAGAGAGTCGAGCTTCTGCCGAGTTCGCTGATACTTCCTTCTCGATTTTCACCTCTTCACCAGCGAATTCGAAAACTTTTGTAATTTTCACTTTCTCTTCAGGTTTCGGCCGAATTGGTGGATTAGCTGATGTACCATTCGCTGAGTCCTGAGCCTTTGGTTTAGATATTGTACCTGAAAATATTTTTAGTACTTCCGAATTATTTCAAGTGATTCAGTTATTGATAATAAAAAATAATACATAACAATAATTCACCTGTATCTTTCATGAAATCGGCCCACAGTGTGTCAGCCCTTTTTTTCTCCTCCTCTTCGGTGAGAGCTGAAGTCTCTTTCGTCTCTTCGTTCACCACAATTTCATCCCCAGGTCCAAAATGCTTTCTTCGCTTGGAAATTTTTTTACTCCTTCGACCCCGTTTTTTACCCTTATTCCTCGTCAATTGCTCGTTCTCATTGTTCTCGTCTTCAGGACCGCTCTCAGCATCACCTTCTGACTCCGCCTCAGACACGGGCTCGTCAGCACCATCAGGCACATAATCCTCATCGTCCTCGTCTGAATCTGAGGGCAACTGATGCTCTTCAGACATAACCTCGAGTTTACGTCCTCTTATCATCAATAAATTCATTAATTCTCAATGTCACCACATATCATGAGCATTAATTAAATTCTCATCACATTACTCACCCCTAATTTATATTTTTAAAGGGGTGTCCTTTTTTTTCATCCAGGAAATTAAAGGAATGGAGTCCTTTGTACGAGGTGCAAATGGTCGATTGGCGTTGGTTCACTTGGATCGTCACTAATTTTTATAGAAATTTTCGTGTCAAATGCTCATGGTCTTTTCAAAAATTCGGAATCTCGTGGGGATCGATCAGTTTTTATTGAATCCGATGGCGTATCGTGGGGTAATTGATCTGAATTGATGATACACGTAAGAGACTGTACTTTTTTCTCTCTGAAATATAGTTCACTGTATAAAAATGATGGACCAATAAAATTGACTCGACAATCAGCGCTACCTGCTGACTAGAAACTGGTGGATTGAGAGAAATTCGTCAGCTGTTTACCATCTGTTTTCACATTGGTAATACGAAGTCGATTGCTGGTATAAAAAATGATAGGAAATACGAGTACCGACTGTAGTTCGCGATATTATCGCAGGTGATATATTTCGCAAACTTGAAAATTTAATATTTCATCGAAAATTTCATTGAAATGATAAAAATTATTGAAAATGTCAAAATTCCTCGAAATTAAATGAGTTCAGTGAACAATAAGCGTGAGAAACTTTCGAGATATCGATGATTATCTCGACGAGTGAATTAATCAATTAATGAATTATTGAGACAGGTAACAAATAAATATTTCATTATCTTGACGCAAGTGAGCTTATCTTTAATATTAACATGTTGCTGCAATAACATTAACAGTGGAACTGTGAACGTCACTTGTATAATACATTTTGCACTCAACATCAGTAGAAATTAGAAATCATATTGGATGAATCGTAATTTGTATGTTGAAAATTTCAAAGTACCATGGGCTGGATTAAGGCTAAATGATTGATTCATCTAAAATTTACTTCAGCGTGTAAATGCTACCACTGAGTTGACATGTCAATTAAAGACAGTAGTCGATAAAAATTGATTTATAAAAAAATTCATGAAATTTGAACAATTGCCTGGTTGTGGATACTTTTGATTCCTTGACGTTTCTTGATGTTGCACCCGTTTGAGTTAAGTATCGTTTTACTATCGTAATGCATTGACTATCGATGCTGCGTGACAATTTACTGATAACTAGTGATAACTCTCGAGTCTTCTGAGCACTTTCATTGCTTTTGATATTTAACAGTGATCGAGGCGATTTCTCTCCCCTCACAATTGGTAAAAAATCCATATTATTCATTTGAAAAAGACGAATTATTGATTTTCGTCGGTTATGGAGTAGTTTTAAAGTTGTGAAGGATTTTTTTATTTATTATTTTAAAGATGGAGTCGACGATAATCCGTGAATACTGGCTGACACTCTCTCCCTCGTTTTTATTTTCATTGTGACTAGGCTCTTAGAATGCAAGACCTGCCTCGGAATAGGTGGTGAAGATTTTCTCGACGGAATTTACGTAGGCAGCTGTCCTCAAGTCCAGGCCCAGATTGAACTTCATGGCAGTCTTCATGATAGCCTGAGAAAAAAATAATTCATTAAATTTCCAACAAAGTCCTTGGGTAGTTTCTCAGTTATTTACGAAATCACTGGATTTGCCACTTGTCGAGCCAATTGATTATTCTTACCCTAGCCGATCGCTCCATTGTGTAATCGAGACCGGAATGAACAATATCTTTTTCGGATGCACCAGCAATCTTCTTATTGAAAGCCTCGGATGGCGTGACAGGAATTCTTCCCCCAACACGTCCAAATCGACGTTCAAGCGATTCCTGGACGGATTCTGAAATTATAAAGACTCATTATGCTATCGACTCCACAAGATTTCCCTCGGTTAATCTAATTATGGAGAGTAGCTCACCCAGTAAGTGATAATTGGATTCTCTCTCGTACTTGAATGTGAGTCTACCATACGATACGTGATTGAGGTTTTTCAGCCACTCGAAGAAGGAGACTGTGACACCACCGGCGTTTATGTAAAGATCGGGAATTACCAGAATATTTCTCTCGATTAGAATCTTATCGGCTGCTGGAGTTGTTGGCCCGTTGGCAGCCTCGGCAATTATCTTAGCCTAAAATTATTTCATCGAATAATCGATCAGAGGAATTTTTAACAAATTTTCTCACAAAATATTATAAATTATCGTTTTACGAAGACGACAGAATTAATTTGAAATATCGATATGATTGGTACCTGAATACGTCCAGCATTATCCTTATTGATAACTTTCTCAACGGCAGCAGGAATAAAGATATCACAAGGTTCGAACATGAGATTCTCTCCCTCGTAGGGCTGAGCCCCAGGGAATCCCACAATAGTTCCATTATCGAGTCTGTAATCCTCGAGGGCCTTGGGATCAATTCCCTCGGAATTGTAGATGGATCCATCGTGCTCGATGACACCGATGCAGGTAGCCCCAGCCCGATGGAGGTAACGCATCGAGTGGAGTCCAACATTACCGAATCCTTGAATAATGAAAGTCTTGCCACCCCATCCTGGTGTTGTGCCAATCATGCTCATGAAATTAGCCTCGTTGATGAAATTCTCAAGCCCATGAAAAACACCTCGTCCAGTAGCAGAAATTCGACCATGAATTCCACCCTGATTTATGGGTTTACCAGTGACACAGGCATGAGCATTAATATCGAGATGGCCAATTGTCTTGGCGAAGGTATCAGCGATCCAGGACATTTCACGCTCACCCGTCCCCATGTCTGGAGCTGGTACATCAACACCAGGACCAATAAATCCCTTCTTAGCCAATTCCAGTGTGAATCTACGGGTTATCTTCTCCAGCTCGTGCTCAGAGTACTTTTTAGGATCGATTTTAATGCCCGCCTTGGCACCACCAAATGGTACATCAACACAGGCGCACTTGAAGGTCATGAGAGCGGAAAGAGCCTTGACTTCGTCTCTGCTGACATCCATAGAGAATCGAATACCTGAAATGTTGCAAATGTTATAAACTCGTCGAACCTGTTTCGATAATACATCAGGTGATTGGTTGCTGAGTGGTGATACAATATCGAGATAATAAGGCCTGTGCAAGCTGGTACACACGTGGAGCCATCACGTGCACCATATATCGGAGTGAGTCAAGGGCTATCAGCGGGGTCATTACACCAGTTGCTGATATCCAGACTGCAGACTCTGCAAATCGCTTCCAAAACGCTTATACTGATATGATATTACAGCAGTGTCGAATTAAATTCACTGGAAATATTCCAGAGACATATTCTTATTAATCTCTCTCAGAATTTTTCACCGATTTTCATCCAATTTATATCCAATTTTTATACAAAGACTGTATCACGAGTGGCGAAGCTCTTCCTCGTTTCAATCATCGGTATAAATATCTCTCGATTCGTCGGAGGCTATTAATTAACGATTGACCAATGTCTTCTGAAAAGCTGAGACAGCAGGGCACCGATACTCTTTTGCAACATCGTCTTGTCAATTTCGTGTACACCTTTCCCCTAAAATCATCTGACATGATTGAATAATCGTGGCCTCTGTCCTAATGACGTTGAAGCCGTTCAAGTTAAATATCAATAACTCTTGGCAATAGACACTTGTGGATTAGACTCTAATCACGAGAGTATACTATTGCCTCCTTGATGCTATTCTTGGTGAAAAGAGAATGAAAATTGTGATAAAAATCATCCACGTGACACCTCGTGACGAGAAAGCTGTTTACGAATCACGAGGGCGAGCCTCTCGGCTATTTTTAATTCCATGTACCATTACGAGTGACCCGTTTGAATGAAACTTATGTACGGGCGAATGTTTCCCCCTTGTAGCTCCTGTATGACCTCATTACATCGTTTTCTCGGGACGGAGGGATCTATTAAAAGTTCAGTGAACTGGGAGAGTTGAAACAACATTTATTTTTATGAATTTCTCCATCTTCCTCTCAATAAAATAAAACTTATTCATCCACTCATCAATTTCATTTTTCAATAACATTATTCAGGTTTAAAATAACAAAAGTTAAAAATTCAGAAAAATCACATGCATCTACTAAACGTCTAGTATTATTCTGGGGACAACATTTCTAATTAATTCTAGTCGCAGTGAAGAATAAATTAGGTCTAAACGAGTCAAATTGCCCGTGAATATGATAACTCTTCCACTCCACCCTAAAAAAACAACTTGTTTTCATCAATTAATTAGAGTGGGAATACCAGACTCGTGGGACGTGGCCTTCAGCATAAAAAAAAAACACGAAAATTCGGTGTGAAAAAATGTGAGGTTGTGTGGAATAATGCCTGGCATTGTTGGAATATTGTCTCGGGACCCGAAGTTGATCGGGGTCAAATCGGTGAGCATCTGGCAGTCGTATAGGCGGAATGAATCACAGTCTGATGGCTGCCAAGATGCCCTCGTATTTATAATTGTCAGGATAAACGCAAAGCAGGATAAGGAGAATTATTTCAACTTCTACTTATAATCCCAGTGTGTGGCTGACGCCTGTGGCATTGCATAACACCAGTCTACAAGTTGAAATGAGAGAGTGAATAGGAATATAGGAGACTTGTTTTATTTTACCGATTCGTCGAACCAAACGTCTGAATCACAAATACCGTGTCAGTAATTTTCAAGCCTATTGCGGGTGATGTATCGACAGCTGGATCGAGATGAATGGAATGTTGATAAGAATTATAACATTTCCTGATAAAGAGATAGTTCGACAAATAGAAGTGATAAACGTAATGAGTTTACTGAGACTCACCGCTATAATACACACTTCATTTTTTTTCATCTCATTATCGTTATTCAGCCTTGAGAATTCTTCAAGAAGAATTATCGAACATGAGGGAATCAATAAATATTCGTAGCAAAATGGTAAAATTCCTAAGTAATTTCTACAGTATTTTTTTTTTTCAGAGACTAGGAGTTGTCGACGGACCGTTTAATTAATGAGCATTTCAATATTTCCATATCGAAATCATATTTCTGCAGATAAATCGATAATAATGCACCCTGATATCTTAGAACAACATTCGCATTCTCGTTATCATGGCTGCAGTGTTTAGAGGCCCTCGACAATCCAAACACGGTGTGGAATCCATGAAGAAAAATAATATGAGAGCGAGGAGATAAAAAGTAACAAATGGATTTATTTTCGGGACCGGTTTTCTTTCATTTGACCTCTGCATCTAAGAGATATCATTGAATTTTTCTTGAATGCTTTCATAGAGCGATGAGACCTCCACTAATGTTTTTAATAAAAATTTTGGTATGACTCTGAGATTCAGGGATATTCTCTGATTTACATACAAGCTGAATTCTCCGAAGAATAAAAGATAATCCAAACTCACCGCCTTTGCATGGAGTTCGATGAGTAGAATGTTGTGCCCTGTACCCTGTGATCATCTCATAATCCCCAGAGTCACGTTTCAGAGGAAAAGTTGTCTCCAGAATGTGATCGCAGGGTTCCATCATCATGAGAATTCCCTTGACTTTCTTCCGTCTCTCCTCTATGGTGGATTTGGATCGTCTCCCAATTTCCTCGACGAGTTTGTCCTCGGCAATTTGACAGGATCGATGAAAGAAGTACTCAATCATGTTGAAGAATTTTGGATTCTCAGCATTTGGAATATCCTTGAGGCGATCAGGTATCTGATGATCGGCATAACCACGAGCCTGGAGGGCTGCTGGAACAGCACGAGCCAGCACCCCAGGCATATCAGCCACCGGTTTCAATGATAATTTATTGAGGTGAAACATCCTTCTCGATTTGTCGATATACTCGCACTGATTTATTTGAGCTGGTGACGGTTAAATTCCCGCGTTGACTCCGGTTTTATAAATTCACCTCCACTCTCTCGGCGTCACGCACACCAGATCGCAGCAGTTCGATCAAAGACACCTCGATGATGACTTTAGGGCTTCACTCACTCCAACTCACGGCTTTTTATTTTTTCCACGAACAATACACGTACGCAGCCACCACGGGGCGTAGATTTGTGTGACTGGAGAGTTGAAGGGGGAGTTGGACTCCTGTCGATAAGGCAGAGGATCATCAGTTGTCTGCGCAGATGTCAGGTCATTTTTTTTTCGAATTTATTATTATTATCGAATAACTGTCGTTGGGTTTGACATTTCTCTCGTTGGATTTGATATTTCTTGTCGTTGGAGGACTATTTTGTTGAGGTGAAATTATATTTTTCACGAGATGAACAGACTTTTTGGACGTGCTAAACCCAAGGAACCTGGCCCCAGCCTCACTGATGTCATCGCTGGGGTGAGAACCTTTCGTTCTTCATAGGTTAGGCGACCTTGGGATGTGAGTCACTGGGTCTAGATTTTTCTTTTGCGGATTTTCTTTTGCGATGATTATTTTACCTCAGATCAATAGTTGGAACACGATGAAAATATGGATCCCTGGTAATATTATTTTTTGACAGTTTCGTAAAATAATAAATCGTGGGAAGATTGAATTTTCATACTCCATTACGAAGTTGACGATGAAATACATAATAATGTTTAACCATGATCATCTTCTGCTCCAGACAACAAATCAATTTCCTTCTAATTAGTTTTACACGCAGCTGTCAATTTTTGAATTATCAGGAGATTGATTTCTCCAGGTCGATGGACGAGCAGACACAGCAGAGAAAAAGGTTCAGCGTCTGGATGCAGAATTGAAAAAGTACAAAGATCAGCTGGCCAAGATGCGAGATGGTCCAGCTAAGAATGCAGTAAAGGCCAAAGCCATGAGAGTCCTGAAACAGCGAAAAATGTACGAGGGACAAGTGGAGAGTCTCAGACAGCAAGCTTTTAACATGGAGCAAGCAAATTACGCGACTCAGACCCTCAAGGACACCCAGATCACAGTGGCTGCGATGAAGGACGGGGTGAAGCAGATGCAGAAGGAATTCAAGAACATCAATATCGATCACATCGATGATATGCAGGACGATCTGGCTGATATGCTAGATCAGGCTGATGAGGTGCAGGAGGCACTGGGGAGGAGCTATGGAATGCCGGAGATTGATGATGATGAGCTTGAGGCTGAGCTCGATGCCCTCGGGGATGATTTGGCCCTGGACACTGATGCCTCGTACCTGGATGATGCTATTACTGCACCCAATGCTCCAGATAAGGAGCCTGGTGCCAGTTCTGTGAGAAACAAGGTGAGATATTCATTCATAAAATTGTTTTGCTCGTTTTTTAAATTTTTTATATATTTTCAACATGAACTTTTGGGTCACAGGATGGAGTTTTGGTGGATGAGTTTGGCTTGCCGCAGATCCCAGCGACTTAAGAAAGTCTAATTGATCCAGCAATTCATGGTGATTTAGACCTCCAAAGAAGCCCCTGAGGAGTCTGCAATCAAAACGCTTTAATATATATTAAAATAACGTAAAGTAAATTTTTTAATGACACCTCAGCTTCGCGCAAATACCATCGAAAATTTATCCTGAGTATTCGTTAATTATTATAATTTTTCAATATTACTGGAATATCGTGTATTTGAGGAGAATAAATAACTAACAGGAGTCACAGCACTGGAAGTCTTGGGGTGTCGATGGGTTTCGGATTATGGAGATGTTTGTATTGATCGCAGACGTTGGAAATTATTTCGCGAGAGCTCAGAAAATTTTCCTCCTCGAATGAGTCCACCTGGAGGTAGTGGTGCACGTGTGCTCTTTTCTTGTAGAGTTTATCGAATTGAGTGAGTAGAATTTTAAACATGAAACGCATCGCCGAAGAGTTGAGGAGACACAGGAGAGAGGCTGGGTGACCAGCTGGGGGAACTGAGCACAATCCTATTTTCATTGTTTCTCTACTCCAAGGGGTGAATTTCGCTTTATTCTGGAATCTAAAAATTAATTCAACCACAAAGTGGTGCCATTCAATTTTTTTCAGATATGTTATTTGAACTTAATTAAAATTCCTACCTTTCTATATTTCTCCTCATATCGTCCATGGAGCAGCTCCCCCTCGCGATATGTGCAGCTCCGATTATGACAGCCTTCGGCTGCAGAGGATCCACTTTAATTAATTGATGAGATCTGGACCAGGCGTTAATGAAGAGCTCGTCCTGTAACCTGAAAGAAAAAAAAATTGAGAAAAATCAATGATTCCATCGAATCCATTTTTTATTCAGTACATACTTATTATTCTTAGCCAATGAAACCGTTGAAGCAGTCATAGAAATAGGAGACACACTGCTAAAAATATAATGAAGACGAGGATAGGGCACTAAATTCGTAGCTAAATCATTCATATCGGTATTTAAATTCCCAGGAAACCTAGCTCCACTGCAAATAATTAATTAATTACTTTTCCGCCAATCAAAACTCAATCAATTTCAATAATTACCTCGTAAGGTGCAGCAACATATTAACAACAACACTATTCATGTCTTGGAAGGGACTACCAGTGGCATTGTACCTGGCCTGGTCCAGGTTGTCCTTTCCCCGGGCCTGCCAGCTGCATATATCCATCAGAGCTCCATTATCAGCAGGGAAAACGCAGGTGGCGTGTTCCAGGAGTTGCCTGGTAGCCAGGAGGACGTTGTAGGGTGCTGTGACGACATCCTGGGTCTCTGCAGGGTACACACAGGATACGAATCTGTCCACATGGGGATATTCATCAGCAAGAAGTTTCAAAGTAGCTGTACCCAACCCTGAGCCTGTTCCTCCACCCAGGGAGTGCATCAGGAGGAACCCATGGAGACTGTCACAGCGTTCAGCTGTTCTCCTCAGGGTTTCCTTAATTTTTTCATGATAGGCTCGACCATGAGTGTAAAAACCCTCTGCCCAATTGTTCCCAGAGCCAGGATAATTTGTCACTGTGCAGGTTTGATCGAATAAATTCCTCAGGGGGCCATCCCTGTACCTGGAGACAACACTGTCCTCCATATCAACTAGAACAGCCTGAAAATCAAATGAATGTCTTCGAAGAATTAATCAATCCCTAAAAACCGTTGAAATTAATTTTTCACTGATTAATTTCTGAAATGTGAAAATTACCCTGGCTTTAACGTCAGCAGCTGTCAAATCGGATATTTTGGAGAAGGAAAATTTTCCTGGGGTATCAGGAACATGGAAGAAGCTGTTGAAAGCCTCTGAGAGGTCGTCGCAGTTTTTTTTGTAATCCCTATGAATTTTTAATTGATTTACCCCACCACTGTTCGTCTCCACTCCATATTCGTGGAGGACCAGAGGCCAGAATGCACTTCCTATCTGATTTCCACATTGTCCCACTTGGACGCAAACGAATTCACTCATTTTATCATTTTTCCATTGTTTTGGGGACGTGTGGAGTGGTCAGCAGTGGTTTTGCTCTTTTAACGAGTGGTTCCCGCGCTTTCTAGAATCAGCTGATTGCAGCTGATGCTCAGACGTACGTTTCGGAGCAGTTGGTCCTCGTTATGGCGGGTTTCGAGACCTATCGAATTAAAGTGTAGTGATCAATAAATTTCGAGTGAACTACGGGTCAATATGTGGGGGATAAACGTGAAGGTCAATGGAATTATTTTAGCTGTTGTGGCTCATTACACTCTTGCACAAATTGCAGGGGCTGACTCATGTTAGTCGATTTCTAACCTATATTTTACCGGTTTCTGTGCGATTATCACGATTTTTTTTACTGCACCATAATTCACACTCTTGAAAATAGATTTTGAAATAATCTGCTTGCTCATTTCCGAGAAAATAATTTTTATTCAACCTTATAGAATATATTCCCGTATTTTTTCGGTTACTCAATTTTTTCGGGTAATCAAGAATTTAATCATTTGATGAATGAAAATTTATGTCTAGTGCATTATTTGGAGCCTGGAGACTCAGTAGAGAATGCAAAGCCTGGATTGAGAATATTTTGCCACAATTCGAAGTCGAAATATCTCATTCATCTCTGGAGAACTCTAACGGTATTCCTGTTGCTATTTGTTTTAATCATTTAATTACAATTTTAACGCAGAGGATTATTTTTGTGTAAATTTTTTAGTTGAGTTTGTACACTGACTTGGAGACTTATGATCTCTTCGATGGGAAGAGTCCGTCTGAGGTCGTGGAGAAGCATGACCTTAGCCAGAGATCCTGGAGATTCAATTGGTTTGGTACGAAGAGGAGTAAAAAGATGAAGATAAATCCCTTCGAGGACACTTGCATTGGGATTTACACACCTCCCGCTAATAATTATCGTTACAAGATGTCAATGACATTGACAAGTTAGTCTCTCCGTCAATACTCCAGGCGAGCTCATCCTTTTCAATTTTCTTAATCCATCTTTTTTTTAAGGCATTGATATCTGGAAGGTAGCCCTCACCGTCGGCGGCGTTCTTCTCTTCTGGTCTGCTCCGAAGCTCAGCAGGAATTCATTATTTTATTATCTCACTGGAGTCACCCTGGGGGATGCATTCTCTGTTCTCATCCTCATTTGGTTCATCAGTAAATTATTCGGCAGAGTAAGAGAACATTCCATAAATTTCCGATGGATTTTTAACCAATAGTAAATTCTCATCATCAACAGGGAAAAGCAATGTACCTGATGATCGCTAGTGGTTGGACCTTGAGCACTTGGTTGGCAAACATCCTCTGGGAGAATGCCCAAATTATTCTCCTACAATACAGGGACTACGTCCTGTGGTATCTCCTGGCAACTTCCCTCATCAGTTTTATAATTTGTTATCGGATTGGACCGGTAACTAATACCAGAACGAAAAACATCATCCAGTGGTTCCTCCAGGTATAGTCCATGAATTCCTGGTCAATGAAACCCAATCCCTCGCGGCTTTGAATTATTATTTAAATTAATCTTCCAGGGCTGTGGATTACTGATGATATATTTTAGCAGCCACTTCCACGAAGCTTCCATTGCGATCTGCATCCTCATAATTGTCTTCTATAATTTTCCGATCGTTGCCTTTCGCAAGGGAAGAATCTATTGGTGAGTTTATCCTCTTATTCTGTAGTTTTTCAGCCTTCGACCTGACCCTCTCGCTTTAGTCATTCGCTAAATTTTTTTTGTTCATTTTTTTCCATTTGATTCAGTCAGGCATTCATACAGAGATCATGCTTAAAATATAATTCAATCAGGAACTCGATGTTTCCCGAACGTCCGAGATTACTGACAGAAGACGAATACAGACAACAGGGAATTAAAGAAACTAGAAAAGCACTCGGAGAGTTGAAGGAATTTTGCTCCAGTCCAGAATGTAGCCCCTGGAAGACAGTATTGAGATTAAAAGACCCCATAAGGTGCTTATTACGACTTCACGACATCTACATTAATATTATTTTCAATTTTCTAGGTTTCCTGCACTCGTTTCCTTTCGATAACTTTATATTTTTGTAGGTTTGCTGAGTTTATGGAGGGGAGCCCTCATCTGTCTCAAAACGAGAGCTATGAGCATGATGTGGAACTCACAAGACTCATCGAGGAGTGTGAATACACCGAAGATGAAGACGAGGATGATTACTGAATAATTAAGAATCAATCCACAATCATTGTACTGCCATCGAGCGAATCAATTCATTTTGTATATACCTTTTCCACGTCTCATTGTGTCTTAATAATTATAAGGGGAATTGTATTTTCTTATTTTTTAGGAATGTTTGAGAATAAAATAAATACTTGACAGTTCTCGTTAATTTTTGATATTTTATTATTAATTAAGTCGTTGAACTGGTCAATATTTGTATTATAAAAATCGATAGGCTTAACTTATAAATATATATCTCTTCTATGAGGTATTAAGATCTTTAAGGCACCGTCGGGTCACAAGAATTAATGGAAGATCAATGTAAATGGCAGTGTAACTTATACTGGTACACTTTTATGTAGATTTTTAGTATTTGTGAATGTTGTTAGTCTTGTTTATGTAAAATTTTGGATTTTCTCGATCATTCAACGCATTCGAGAGATTTTTTTGCTCTTGTCGTTTTCAATTGCTGGTGGTGGGGGTTTGGCTTTTTGATGACGATCGTAGACACTGAAAAAAAAAGTTATTCGGTTACATGTAATTCGGAGAATTCTACTATATGCAGATATCGGCACCATGCGCTCGATGCGACCGAAATTTATTTTTCAGCTTTATTCTGCCTGGAATTTTATTCCTCACTGGACGAAGCAATGGATTGTTTACATCTTGGAAACTGGGGATGGTAGGATGGGGAAATCGAAAGATATGCGAAAATAGCAATTGAGGAGAGGTGGTATAACGGAATTCTACTGTATTTATTTTTCATCATTGTATGGGGTGAAAAATCTTAATACTTACTACTTGTACGTTTCCGATCGTATGTAATCCATAACGTGGGAGATTCCCACTTGCAATTGATCGCCGATCGGCGTAACCCACGGATTAAATTCCATTCTGAAAACAGCTTTATTGCTCACAAGATCCAAATTTCCTAATTCTGGTGGAAGAACAGTCAGACGATTTCCCTGAATGTGCAGCTCCCGAAGACGAGCCAATTCCCCGATTTCCCTGGGCAGTTCAATTAGGTCGTTCTCCCGGAGAACTAAGATCTGGAGGTTTTTCAATTGACCGATTTCCCCCGGCAGATATTCGAAATCGTTGTCCGCAAGGTACAGTGCTCGCAATGTCTCCATCATGAAAAAGTTACCGGGGAGATTCTTCTCACTTAAGTTGTTATAGGTGAGGTCCAGCACTTCGAGGACTGGAAATGCTCCGAAGCCTCGGGGGAGGGCATCTAGGCGATTCATTCTGCATAGAGAAATTATGAACATTTGAATCGAGAGGTCAATACCGAGAATTTTTAACTCCCTCAATTTTTCACTCACCCAACATTCAGAATTCTCAATTTTGGCATTTGAGATAGGGAAATTGGGAGTTCAGTTATGTGATTATTAAACAGATTGAGAATTTCCAGATTGACTAGATTCGCAAGTCCTGGGGGGACAGTCTGAATTTTATTATGACTCAGAGTCAACCGCGTTATATTCAACATATTCACTGAAAAGAATAAAAACCTAAGATTACAACTACAATTAAATAATTAATTATAGGAGACATATTACAAAATAAAAATAATATTAAAGGGCTATCCACTCCTTTTCCTATTTCTCATTTAGAATTAGTGGAACAAAATTTCAATCCCTTTAAATTAAAATGAATTTGAAAACGCATGCGTAACCACGCCCCCGAATGGCCGATGGCGATGCCGTAGCAAAAACCCGTCATGCAAGCTACCAAATTTGGACAATCCCGTGGCTACGACCAAATCCAGTGAATGACAATGAACTCACGCAATCCTGGCATCTCCTCGAAGGTGTTTATCCCTTTGTCGGCGAGATCCAGCTCGGGATTTTGCACTTCCCGGGCTTCATCCAGGATTTTCTTTGCCTTTGACATCTTGGCGGCAGTAGGAATACACGAAACTGGGGCTTGGTGCATTGCGCGCGCACTTTGTAAACACGTCAGGCTCTTTAAATCGGAGGAAATTACCAGCGCATGTGCAAAACAGAATTTTTCGATCAGGATCTAAGAGGATTGACTAAAGTAGAGGCTCAGTTTTAGGAGTTTGAGTGATCTCACTGTCATCGTAGTACCTCACCCCATGAGGGAGAGGGCTCCACACTAAATGCGCTGGAGTTAAGGTATGATGGAAGGAGGTATTGCCAAGCCTTGATGTCGTTGACACCAAAACAGGGGACAAGTACCTTCAGACGTCGTACGTAGCGCTGTATAACGCCTTCCCCTCATGTGCGTTTCGTCCCCACCATTCAGCGATTTCTGGCGTTTAAATTTGAAAGCCAGTCGAGTCGTTTGATTTTTTTTCTTGCAAATTGACATGAAAAAAAAAGGTATGGCTTAAAAATTATCTACAAAAGCATAAATGAACAATGGGTATATGATTATTATTATTTTTTCATAAATCAAGTAATTAAAGGGAAACTCTTTCCACATCACCCAAGGGGTAGAGTTCTTGACGCGTTTTTTTTAACGTGGTATCCCCTGTAGGCCTAATCCACGAAGTCAATGAATGGGAAAATATTATGATTTAAAAACCTGGAATAAAAAAAGAACCATGAAATTTATTAATAATAAATAATAATGAATTAATAATAAATTCATCAATTTCTATGGATATTCTAGCTGCATTGTCGACGTTGAATCATCTCAGCAACACTGATTTGAGAGAAATATTGAACGATGATGGAAGATTCGAGGAAGTTGTTAATGACATAAAACAGGTGAATTATTTAATCGATGACAATAAATGGATAATAAGGCGGTTGTCTCATTATTTTCTTGTCTTATTACTAGATATGCGACTTACTAACTTTTCGTGAGGTTTCCTAGTTTAAAGAATTGGAATCTGAAGAGGAAGTGCTGATCGCTGGAAATCGTTCTCTGGCCGAAGTCAATCTAGAAAAGCAACCCCAACTCGAGGAGAATAAAAAAGCATTACAAGAACTGTCTGAAAAAGGCTGTGAGCTGCTGCTGAAATTAAAAAAGAATCGGAAGTAATTATTTAAGCAGTTATATAAACAATTGTCAAATGATAATTGTGATTTTTATTTGTATTCTCCTTCGTGCCCAGAAAATAGCTGAGAAATTCTTATCGGGAGATACAGAAGTCGATGAATTCCTGGATCAATTCTTGACCTGAAGAAAGATAATGCATTTACGAAAGGTGAAGGTAGACAAAATGCGAGAGCTTAAGAGGAAACCGAAATCGTCAACAGGGGGTTATCCAGCAGTGAACACCTTTCGC